TGTAAATAAAAGTGAAATAATTAAATGTAAGTTCTGTGAACAGACCGTCCAGTGGAGCTCCTCAGGGCTCTGTGCTTTCACCACTTTGTTTTCTATGCTAATGAGTGTCAGAGCACGTCAGCATTAGTCCTTCAACATGGTCACAGCCACTGATGAAGGTGTTCAAATGTACTTCCGGAACATCAGCTTCTGTTCTATGGGAAGCAGGGAAAGCTGTGATGATAACCTGCTACGAATGGAGGAAAAATACATATTCCCATTGACTCCTTTGTTAGACAACACTGCCACCATGAGGACACAGTGGAATATTGAACTCGGGTTACATATGGCCACTAGAGGGAGATGTTCCACTTTAAAAACTAACATGGATACAAGCAGATCATCAGTGATGCTTCCTCACCTGGTAAATACATAAATACATAGCACGTTGAGCATGTGCAGTTCCTGATAAAAAGCTTGATTTTACCTAACTGTGGATAAAAATTACTTTCACTTAAATGTGTCCTGAAATATTCTGTGTACTCTGTGACTGTGGGGTTCAGCTGTACTTCCTGATCAGACTGTAATATTTCTGATATAAAGTTAAGAACAACTCGTATATTCCAGAGTCAAGTGAAAATATGTAATACTCACAGTCAGGAGTAAAAAGTACTTTCTGCTTACAGTCTGTACTCTGCTGATCAGCACGACACCAGCAACGTTAATGCGCAGCAAGTGAGCTTTTAAGGTAAATGGTGAATTGACGAGTCCCTTTATCCTTCTACTTGTGCACTTTGTGCCACAAGCCTCATTCACCTGTTCTACACTTAAGTGATCTAACGTTCACCCTCCAATGAATGCTTCAAAGAGCAACTTGGGGTTCAGTTTCTTAACTAAGGGCACTCTGGCATGCAGAATGGAGTGGCCAGGGATCAAACTGCCAACCTACCAATCAGTAGATGACCTCTGCCTTCACATGATTCACAACATCAGCGTCTACACTGAAAGCTTTCCACCTTAAACAGCTGCTGTAGGCAGTGTCACAGTGAGCGTTATTTGTTGTTTGTTGGCTGTTAAAGAAGAGAATGAATGTGGGAAAATTTTGCTATTTTTCAAACCAATAAGAAAGTTACTGTGAAATAACATTGATAAGGTGATATTAATGATGCTTTCGTATTGTCACTTACATTCTCTCTAATACTGATGGGCCCAAACCCACATCTCTGTTCTGTCCCTTATACCCCTCCTGTGTCATTTTTAGATAAAATCCTTATATACTTTCAAAAGACAAAAAGAAGAATTAAAAAGACTTTAACAGCACTTAAACACCACACCCCAAAACGGAGGCCCCCGACTGGTCAGAGGTTCAAGCTCAGGTCAAAGGAGCATAAAAAGTAAAGTGATTAGATGCAATCACAGGTACAATCAGTTAAAGAGACTACTTCGGTCTCTTAAAGGCGAAAAACAAACAAACAAGCAAAAACAATTATCACTGTATAGCACAAAGTCAGTTAAAGTATATGAAAAAAAGTCTTTCTCTCCTTTTTTGGTTTTTGTAATACACATTTGGACACTAGGGGCAGTTACTTTTTGAGGGACTGTACAAATAAAGGAAGGCTGTAATTTCTGGTTTTGGCCAGTGGGGGAACTCAAGAGTTTATAGTGGTATTTCTATAGCACAGGGGTAGGCAACTCCAGGC